TAACTGTTTGCTTCGTACTCTACTTTACAGTTTATCCCTGCTGTAATACTGATAGTAGTATATACTACAATACGTTGTCTCATATGAGTGGGAAAGTCCGCGACTTGGTGGTTTATTGCGGCTACTTGGTAATAGCCTTCGCACTGTAGTAGAGCGAATACTATCCATCAGTGATTCTCGGTGAGTTCTGTTTAATCGTTCGTTCATGATTTTCGCGACTCGTATAATCTACCATGTGAAACTTAGTATAAAATGCTGTTCCGACTCCATGTTGAACTCTTATTTATGAAGACGTCGTTTTCACGTGCGAATACCATCAATGAATCGGCCGCCTAAATTCGGTATTTTGTTTGTGAGAAAAATAAGATAAGCGTTTTGGAGAATAATTCTCCAAAACGCTTATTTTGTGTTTCTCATTTTTCAACCCAATAGTTGGTATTTTGTTAAAAATAAGAGTTTTCCGACAAAAAATTTTGCCTTGGCGTTGAAATTTTCCAAATGCACACAAACCAGTGTTTTCCTGCCTAGCGGAGCGATGTCGTAAATTTTTTTTAATCTTTCATCGAGACTACTTGTACTGTTGTCGTTTACTTGGTGTTGTATTTTCCCAAACTTACTATTAGTCACCGAATTAGTGTTATATTTCAGATAAAATTCATATGGTCACGAGATGGTCAATGGCGGCTCCTGGCCATAGCCGGCCTCTGCGATGTGCTCGGGCAAATTCTACAATTCATTGGCCAGCCATATGTTAGTGTGATGGTTTATCAACTCATGTTACAAGCTCAGGTAATCGTTGGGGAAATTTGACCCTTTTTTGTGTAAATTTCACCCGTTTTACGTGACTATGTGTTGTGGCTCACTCGGGAATGCCCACTATGAACACAATACGGTATCAGTCGAGACATAACTGATGAATGCGGCAGCAGCGTGCACAAGACCAGAATGCGCATGCGTACGCCACAGCTAATATCGATCAGACGCTCATATGTGCATCGCTCCGCTAGACTACATGTGGAACCCCACAGTTTGACAAGAGTGAAGGAGTAATCGTCCATGTGAAAAACGCGGTATGAAGTGAAATATGTTTTTCATATCACTTGTGAAACTGCAATTAAGCTGGTACGGATCGTTGAACCCTCGGTCTCGTTGGGTGTAAGCAAACACTCTTCCACTTATCTCGCTGCGGTATTTGCCTAGACTTGCCGAATGAGTGATAAATATAATATAATAGAGTTTCACCACCCTAGTGATATGAAAAACACTAGCGGAAAAATATATTTCACGACTACTGCATATCACCGCCAATATCGCGTTTTTCCGCCACTTCACGAAAAAAAGGGTGAAACTCTATTATAATAATATTTTATTAATGATATCATCTATTGATATCTAATATCATATTAAGAAGTGGTGGATTGCGTGTGTTGATAGCAATACGTCGTTCCACTGGAGCACTTACGAGAAGTCTTAGATTTTCCATAGTCAACGCATTTGAGATTTTTTCTGTTAGTTGCAAATGTGTATGCTCAGGTTCCCTTCACTGCGTTATGGAGTGCCTCTCTACTGCGTGTAAAATACGTTGCAGTAGAGCTCATAGGGCTCATCGTGGTGGTGCTCGGTTCAGCAACAGCGTTTATGCAACTTTCACAAGGAGGATTGTCTTCCACCAACATACCCATGGCCACATTAGTTTGCCTTTCAACTGCGTGTACTGCGATGAGTTTCACACTCAAAGAAATGGTATTTCGTCGCTACACTGCAGAGTACCACGACGATCTCGATATTTTCGTGGTCAATTCTGCTGCCTCGGTATTCTCACTGTGTTGGAGCCTGCCAGTGTCGAGTGGCATCGAATGGCTACGACAGCCTTTGGGTTTCACTCAGCGGCTGGAGGATGGCTTTTTCTGTCTGGTTGCTGAAAGGCCTACAGATATCAGTTCATGTCAATATGCGACTAGCACGTATATCATTTACATGTCGTTGAATATATTTTACAACATCAGCGTCTACGCGTTGGTGGCGAAGCATTCAGCGTTGTTGACATTCGTGTGCATGAAACTGACAGCTCCTCTAGCTGCTATATTATCGCTTATTCCGTGGCCGCTCATTGGGTCGTCAGAAATCCCATCATCTGAGTGGGTGGCTCTGGCCGTTATCCTCGCGGGTGTATTTTTGTTCCGTCACGGCAATCATGTGAAGGACAAGGCGATGGCCGACGCTGCTGTGAGCGCTACTGCGTGGATGCTCTGTTGCTTCCCGTTCTTCCAAAAGAAGAAGTACCATCATGCCTTAGTCGTTGAGGAAGAGAAGGAAGCTGCGACGCCTCAGTTGGAATCCCCTTTGCTTTCTCCTGATATGCGGAGAACTGTGTCCGCGCCAGTGAGAGCCAGGATGTATGTCTGTCCAGATGGTCGACGTGTTTGCTGTCCATCGCAGTGTAACCGGATGGAAATGATCCTATGTCGTTGCGAGGCGCCTTTTGTGATGTGAGAGATCAGTTATAGCTGTATTCATCTTAATATGTTGACGGCGCGAATCATTACTTCACTAACTGAATTTTCATGAAGAAATAACGTTTTTTGTTGGGAACATGTGGGCAGTGGGATAATCTGTGGCGGACGTTGCCAACTACGATAGAGTAATTGACGGTATCATTGGGTAAAAGTAGGGTTGATATAATATTGGGGATATTCTAAGACGGAACTGATCAACAAAATGCATATCAAAGACGACCATAAAGAATACCCGATGCAGGATTCGAACCTACGACCATCTGCTCCGTAGGCAGACATTCTATCCAGCTGAACTAGGCTAGGGGGAAAACCGCGCCGGGGCGCGGGGAAAAATTAAAAAAGAAAAGGAAGGAGAGAAAAAAGGAAAAAGAGGAAGGAGAGAGGGAGAGGGGAGAGAGGAAGGGGAAGGGAGAGGAGAGAAGCAAGGAACATGGATGAAAACGCATTCTGCTTAACAGAGGGATAACAAACTGCGATCCCTGTGTCGTATAGTCATCCATGAGGGTTGAATGAGTGTTGGAACTGCAGGGCGCTCGAAATAGAGCGCGACACCGCGCCGCGCCAATAACGCCCGATTTTTTTACCTTCCCTCTATGATAACTCAATACAAGGATGTGGCACACGACATCAACATGAGTGAAGTGAATTCAGCAAACCAAACCAAACATTCATTTGTTCTTCTTCCTCTCGTTTGCCTCCCGCCAGCGCTCGCGCTTCCTCTGGATCTGCTCGTTCTGGAGAGTTTCTAGTTCCTCTTCACCATCCAAGAGTGGGCACCAAATAACTTGTGTATATTTATCGTTGCCCACTGGAGCTCGAAACTGCTGGTGATGCAACGAGCGCCCTTTGCGAACTAACCATGATTTATACGGTCTTCGGCACTTCGAACATTTACGACCAGTTTTGTCTGCGCCCATCAAGGTATCGGCCATCAAAGCCTGCTGTATGGCAGCTTCAACGCGCTCGTCCTCCAATTTCTTCTCCTCATCCTTTTTGTTTTCTGCAGCCGCATCACGGTAGGGACATAATCCGTGAGTGCTCCCATCGTAGATATGCTCGTTGAAGCCTTTTCGGAGTATTTTCCCGCAAAACCTACATTTCCGACCCTTGAATTCCCTTGGAGACTGCCGGGGCACTTGATCTTGCGCTCGAGTCTGTATTGCTTGCTGCACAGGGCCTTCGGCCGGGCTGATTCTCATTCGCTTACGCGGCCGAGTCTCTAACTCATCCTGTAGATCATTGGCTGTTATCTCTGCAGGTCCGCTGTCCAAAGTCGCGTGCTCGTGAACCACGACCACCGCCTCAGTCGGGGATTTATTCGAAGACTGAGCTGCGAGTGATCTCTCGAGATTCCCGAAAGCTTCCATACTCTTGAGATTGAAGCTTCCAGCCGATCCTGCGAAAGAGCTACGCTTACGGTATCCTGAAAGCCACTGCTCTACGTATAAGATGGACGTCGGATGATAAGATATCGGTCTTCTGCCATCGATCTCATGATTCGCACGTTCTTTCATGAGATAATCACGAGTATAGAGTTTCAACAGTTCGGCGGCAGTTGCCCTGGGGTACTCCAAACGGAGAGAAGTGAATGCACGTTCCATCGCACCACCGACCTCATGATCTATGCGGAAGTAACTTGCACTCTGAGCCTTGGTTCGCCATCTCAGGAACTTACGGCGCTTAGTTGCCACTGGTAGAGGATCGAAAGTTCGTCCTCCACAAGGCTCTTCATCGGAGTCAGTACTCTCATCGGAATCAGATTCGCCCGCTGGCTCTTCTGCTCCATCGCCACCGTCGATTTCACCCTCTAGAATGGACCTAAATCCAGCACTCTCCGTGTCGGTGGTTGTGTCCTGCTCGTCGTTCATAATCTCATCAAGGATCGCTCCTCGCTGTGCCAAAGGCACTTCCGCACTGAGGATGTCCTCCTCGGGTGGTATCTCGTCTAGTGACGCGCAATAATCGAATCCCACGATCGGAAGAGGTGCATCACGTGCCACCAATCGAAAATCTGGGTACATTTCCCTCGCGACATCTCCCATAAGCTCAATCTCTCTCGGAGTTTGGTGAACATCGGGGACACGCATGCCGAGACGGAGTCTTGCACGACGATTGGCCGCATGAATCGTCCATAATAGTTTCAGATCGTACAACGAGCGAGACACGCGCGTAAGGCTTTTGAATGCACGATCGTAGAGAGAATGTACACATTCTACTCTAGATGTTCCCCGAAGGGAGCGAAAGTGATCCAATTCTATCGAGCTGTTCCGGTATCTGGTAACCCCTACCTTCATCATGCTTTCTGCGCAATCTGTCAGACAACCGCCCAACAGATGGACACGCTGATGTTCATAGGTTAGCCAGAAAGTTTCGCCCAGTAGCGGTCGGTAGTGTGACCCGAGCGGAGCCGCCATAAGTGTGGAGGGCTCACTCTGTCCGGTCAGCTTTTTCAAAGCGCACTCTTCCTCCCACTCACGCTTCATCGATTCGTCCACGGAATGGTATGTACGAATGACCCGTTCGACCCTTGAATCGAGTTCGTTCGGCTCTGGCACCGACCTCCTGACGAATTTCAACCTCTCCGATTTGGGGATCCTTCCAGTCATTCCCAAGGCCTCTCTAGCAGCTCGCAGGGCCCTCTCGTCTTCCAAGTTGCAGACGAAGAAGGCTTTCGACAAATCTTTAGCAAACTTGTTCTTGAGCAAGTGCGACTGATCACTAGCTCTCACCATTCGCATTATGCAATGCATCGGATCTAATCGTATATTGACTCCGCTAGGGACGTATTTTTGGAGGGTTCCTGAGCCGTCGCTGGATGCTGCACAGCATCCAACATCGGTGTAAAGCACTGTAGGATGGTCCACGCCAGCTCTCAGATGCCTTCCATATACTTCGGTCAACGCATCTTTAAGATATTCACATCTCGTTGTGGGAACGATCACTGTCGTAAGGATCATATTGTAGTCTCCAACACACGTCATGGCCTGACCCAGAGCACGAGATTCAATCACGCGTTTGGATATCTTGCGCTGGTAGTCTATGGCTAGACTTGACGACGATACGACTGTCGCCAACTCCCGGAGTAGATATGGTTTTTGTTGCCAGAAGTCGAGTAACATCACTCGCACTACCGAGCTATAACTGAGAGGCCAGATTCGTTGTGGTATCGGAGCTCTGGCTCGAGTCTGCCCCTGCATGAAGGGGTTCTGCAATGATTCAGTCCATCTCTTATCATAAGCCTTCGCACGCCGTTGATATTCTCGTGATAGTTGCGAATTGATATACCCTATTCCTTGAGATATGGCCCCACTCGACAAGAGGTAAGTCCTCAATAGCTCGATGAGGCTCAAGTCCAAGCCACGGCTTCTAGTCGCGATGAAAGGGAGCTCCGCCTGAATTTCGAGCGGGCAGGTTTCCAAATATGCAGGTTCCCATGCGTGCCAGCTCCGCTGACAGCGGCAGCACTCGAATCGCACCGTTACGGCAAGATAAGGCCAGGGTAATCGTATGATTAGTTTCGGTTTGGATAGTCTGCCTGGACGTATTGTATCGCATGTTTCGCAGAATGGGCATCGCCCCCCTCTGGGTGCCCATAAGTATAAATCATGCCCGAAAATGCTTCCCACGCGGGGAAAAACCTCCTTCGATATCACGGGCGATAAATATGATAACTTTGACATATATTGAAGGCGAATACTTGCCTCTGGTAGCTGAACAAAACCCAGCAACGAAATGCACGTGGTAGTGGGAAATGATGCATACCCTATCGACAACTCGAACCTACGACCAGTGGTCGCAGGCTCGAAGTACCTGTAAAGTAGCTGGTCGCCGACCATCTACTTCACAGTCACACATTTCATTCTATTCTCCCTAGCATCGATGTCCTCAGCGGGACAATACCCTACATCAAGTTTTTCCAAAACCGTCACCCCATGTCATCCTCCTCTGCAGTCGCGTTTCATTCTAAGCCCGCCTCATGAATGCACTAGTTGACACAACAACAACAAAACTGTTGAAATATAATGATGTTACGTCGTTAACACTACATAAACTTACTCTCTTCCCCTTTACCTGACCATACAAAACGATCACCCCGGAATATACCTCCGTTCGCCCTACTTGTGAACTTGCTCTCTGTCGGCTCCACAAGTCCTCCTCCCTTCTCTAGTTGTTCTTTTTGTTTCTTCAGCATGTCCATGAAGGTCTACAATGTAGCGCATAACAACAGTCACTCAGCTACAAAGTTGGAGGGATATATGTTCGCTTTCCTCAGCCGAGTGTAGGACTTTCCTCACGAATTATGGGAGAGAAACCAATAAGAATTTCCCAAAATTTCCTCAAAATTTTCATACTGTCGCCGATACATTTTCCCACACTGCTGAGCAAAGTCGGAATACTCACCTGTGTGATCTGAGCCTCTCGATTAGCCTTCTCCTCGAATTTATACAGCGCCAGAGCTCGCTTTTCTTCAGCGCTATAAATCTAACATTAAAATATGCCCCAACCGGGATTCGAACCGGAGACCTCAACTCACCTGATTCTCCTTCCGAATACGGACAGCGTTCATTCGCCTATGCCGACTGCCGGACATAACGTAACCCACGGACTCCATTTTCTCTATCTCATCCGTTGACATTCCAACCTCACCTGAACTCTAAATTCACAACGGAAAGCAGTAGTCTTATAAATGCATTTTGTCTACCATAATTCCTCCAAATCGTTTACATCAAACACTTTGGATGCGAATGTCAATTTGCATGAAATTTCATCATTTTTTCTGATTTTTCAGCGAGTAACAATCCTACCTCTTCGTGGAATACGCTGTCCCTCCGCTACATAACTCGCCATAGCCTCACCCTCACCCGGTCGCAACGCCTTGCCATAACTAAATCACCCATAAATTATTTCGCGCGCCACGAAATTCAACTTACTCGATTCCTCCATGAGGTTTGACACCCCCCAAAGCATCAGTGCTAGCCAGCATAGGCCTTGGCCCGAAGCCCTCGTCCTCATCTTCACTACTCTCCTCATTCGGTCTGCCCCCAGCTGGTTGGAATACCGTAGACGGCACATCTACTTTCTTTTCCACCCACTCGTATCTGTCGAGAATAGATGAGAAAATTACGGTATTAAATATACCCGCATATTCACGTTCCCCATGTTGGAATTAATAGAGTTCCACCCGTTCTACGTAAAGTGGCGTAAAACTCGGTGAAAAACGCGATATTCGCGGTGATACGCAGTAGTCGTGAAATATATTTTTCACTAGTGTTTCCATAATATCACTAGGGTGGTGAACCGCAAATTCATGCATAAAAATCTAATCCACGGCATGTCACTATTTCTATTATAAACATTTTGAACTTTTTGAAAAATTTATTATTATAGACTTTGAAATCCAGTTTAGGGATATATGTTCGCTTGCCTCAGCTGAGCTCGGGGGTTTCCTCACTCACATACATGAACAGCAACAATTTCCCCAAAAAAGTTTCATATTGTCATCACCAACACATGTAGTTGACCATGTGCATGTTTACTCCCACACTGCCGAAACCGTTCACAAGTATATTGGAGTTTCACCCGTGACGAAGAAACAGAAACATATACCACGACTTCTGCATATCAGCGCTACTATCGCGTTTTTCACCCAGTTTTACGCCACTTCGCGTAAAACGAGTGAAACTCCATGAAATTCTTCCCAAAAACATTATAGGTTCCTCCACGTGATAAACTGCTCCTCGTTCGCCTACCATACCTACCCCGAATCCTCCTCGTCCGGCTCAGCCTTCACCACAGGTGCCTCCTCCTCCCCTTCTTCAGAACTGGACGATACGGACCTCTCACGATGATGGTGACGACGATGATGATGTTTCTTCTTATCTCTAGTATATCAACTTCACCACTGTGGGAAACAGCATCGCTCCGCTCTACTTTTTTTCATGTTTATGCCTCCGCTTTTTCTCCTTGCGGTGATGCCGACTATGCCGACGTTCCGAACCACTGCTTTCCCCATCCGATGAATCTTCTCTCGATCTACTACGTTTCCGTGGCGACTTATACTTTGGGTCCATCGCTCGTTGGACCTAGCGAGAAATATATTCCCCAATATGCACATGGAGCTCATCCTAGTGATATGAAAACCACATTCACTTAGCGAAAACGCATATGAGCGCGAATAACGCGTAAAACACGTGAATGCTGCTAGTGTTTACTGAAACGGGGGCATTTGTCAGGTGTTATCAATTCACTTCATACCGCGAATATAACGTTTTTCACATGGAGTATTACGCCACTTCACGTTAAACGGGTGGAACTCCTATAACAACGTTTAGGAAAGAATGCGATAGATATAAAAGGGTAGCTTTATATCACTAGCAATTCACCCTAGTGATGTGAAACACATAAATCTATTCTAATATGGATTTCAAAATTATAAATGCTCTATTTATATTCTTTATTGGAGTTTCACAACGTGATATAAAAACACTAGTGAGAAAACATATTTCACGACTACTGCATATAACCGCGGATATCGCGTTTTTCACCGAGTTTTACGCCACTTCACGTAAAACGGGTTGTGAAACTTCATTATTATGCGTCCCAATGTTACTACAACATATCCCTCGCCTATGAAACGGTTGATCGATTTCAATAATCTTACCGCAGAATGGAATCTCTCCTCCCTCTCCTTCTCTTCTTTGGATCCTGAAAACATGAAAATACAACTACTACACTGGAGTTCCACCCTAGTGATGTGAAACGACTACTGCATAACGCAGCGAATATCGCATTCTTCACGCCACTTCACGTAAAACGGGTGAAACTCCAAGGATCATTCACTCAAACACTAACATGATTATAATCACACTTATGACGAGGAAGCTACGGAACAGATAAAATATACAAAAACAGCAAAGTTGAAATTGCCCATTCCTCCAGGTCATTCGAATCCTTATTGGTGTTTCACCACCCTAGTGATACGAAAAACACTAGTGATGAATATATTTCACCACTACTGCATATCACCGCGAAAATCGCGTTTTTCACCGAGTTTCACGCCACTGCACGTAATACTCCATTATAGCCATATGATTTTTCGACACATACATACCACACCATTACTACTTCTCGTATCGATCTTCAGAGCCTCGTCGCTGCCGTCCTCTTCCTCCTCACTCGATGGTAATGGACCGGCCTTGCTCTTGGCGCAGGTTCGATCCTCAGCGAGGATCATCTCTGCTATTTCCCGCCCGGAACGACCACTCCATCGCTCCTCCATCCCTATGGAACCGAACCAATAAGGAAGTGCACCCGTGCTGGAGAAATATAAGTTTCCTTTCCTCAGCTGAGCTCGGGAATTTTCTCACTCATTATGGGTCGACTTCGGGTAGAAGTGTGCGAAAATTCCCCAAAAATTTCCCTATATTGTCACCAACACATGTAGTTAACCTAATAAGTTCCTCCCGCACTACTTTTCTCCAGCCATTCTCGATCCGGCTCCCTCCCCCTCCTGTGATGATTATTATCATCATCATGATACCCTCGTCGGTCTCTGCCAAACTCATCATAATCCGAACTGTAGTAGCTCCGACGCTCTGAAGAGCTTCCATCACCACGGTAGCTGCCCATTAAAAGGGGAGGAGAACTACTGAGGAATTCAGGATTAACCTCCAGCTGAAGTATGAACAACCGTAGGGCGCGGGATTCGATCGTTTCTCCGGTTGTCTGTAAGGCTAACGCCCTGGGCGTCGTGAAGGCTCTGGCAGAGTATAACGCACGCTTGACGCGAGAGCTATGATTCTTGCCGTAATGAATGAGCATTGATAGCATTCAAGTATCACCGATGACTGTCAGAGCTGCGGAGGGAAGGTTCTAGGTGTGAGCCCCCTTCAGACTCTTACAAAGGGCCTGCTTACGGAAGTGTCCGCATTTGGCTGGCACATTGTCCACATTCGAACCAGATAGCACATCTTGCATTAAGCATTCGCTACCAGAAAACCTACAACTCAGCTCAGCTCAAACGGTTTAGCGAGGGAACTTACAAGCTGTAGAACTCATCTCCCCGTATGGTGATCCAAGATATAGAATCGCCTTACTGTTGAGGAACTTCCTACTTGTACGCCACGCAGGAGAAAAATGATTGAAAAGTCACCTTGCCGCGGATCGAACCTGCGACTCTCGTGAAACCAAACTTGCATACTCGAAAGTCCTTGAATATTTCTCAACGCTCATGAACAGCGCACTTTCCACGCTAGGACTAGAATTGAACTCCATATGAGGACGTCGGCACGAGAGAGGCGACCGCATCTAGTGGTCACCCCTCTCCCGTTTCCCCCTCTCCGAGTGAGGTGGTGCAGGAAGGGTTAATTCAGAATCGATTCTTGCATCGTATTATACGTGTAATAAGCAATTCTGGAAACAATTCTGAGTTTCGAAATCGGTTTATTGAACGACCCCGAAATCACAGGGATTTTTCCCTTCCCCTCACCTTTGTCGATCCCCAGCCCATGGTAGTAGGTAAAAGCAGCTCCGCACATTCCTCTATCGGAGGGAGCGTTTCTCTCGGCGGAGACACCCTACAACAACAGATGATGACCAGAGTGATAGAAAAAGTGGTGTCTAGAACCATAAAAGAGGTAGGGAATAGTATACAACGAAGTTGATAATATACTCCTCTTAGGTTTACGCCGACGTGCTAGACGCTATAGCAGTAGATAGCGTAACTCTCGTTGAGAACCGTATTGGCGCCTTGCTGGAGTCCTCATTAACACCTATAGCGTTGCAACTGCGAGAAATACGTAACCACTTCGGCATCCACTCGTCATACGAATCTGCAACGAGAGCTCACCATCATTTTCACGGACGGGAAAACTCGGATGTAGAGGCTGGACATCACAAAAGTCGCAAGTCGATCTTCTCGCGAGCTCATGCTGCGCACCATAGACGTGCTAGTGCGGGGTCTGCAGATAAGACACTTCCTGATGGGAGAAAGTCTTATCCGAAAGTGGAATTTCGGAGGAGAGCTTCGTCGATAGATGCCATTAAATGTAGCATCTCGCCCTGTAAGGATCCTGCGGTAGATCGAACGAGTTCGGAACCTCGCTCTAAGTCGACATCAGCAGCAGCGCGTTGGTGGAAAGCTCGGGAGAATGTACTTCGAAGAGTAAATAAAATGCCGTCTTCGTCGGATGGAAACGTCGGGGCAGGCGTGCAGATTCCTCCACCACCATTAGAAGCTCCACCTGAACAGAGAACGGAGCAGTTGATGTTCAGGCCGGGCAGACGACCACGAATAGAGGCCGAGCATAGGGTGCTACCGAGAGAAGTAAACGCAGTTGAGGGAGGAGTGGTAGAAGGAGAAGCTGAGGAAGATGCGATACGGAGCGAGAAATCATTGAAACGATCGGATAGCAGAATAACACCAAGCTTGGCCTTAGGAGAAGCATTGGGGTCGACCGAGACCACTGATAAACGGAAAAGTATTTCGAATCACATGACGAGGAGAGGACCTGAAGCAAGGGGGACTTGCCGGTTGGTCGGTGGCACTCGAGGATCTTTAATACAACTTGCGAAGGAGGTGAGGCAATGGCCAGTTGTTGGACCTATTTTGTATCTTGTAAGCTCAACCTAAAGATATTTTCTCAGGAGCATGGAGTTGACAAGGAGCATGAACACGATGGTGTTATACTTCCCATCAATGGTAGTGAAATATGGCAACAACAAAATCGATAATTTACTTTTATAGATTCTCTCGAGGCGAATCGAGACGGAGCGACGACTACTACGGTCGTGTCAGAAATGGCAAATATGAAGAAGTTGGCCGCCAAGTACAGGGAGGAGTTGGAAAACGAAGACCCAACATTGACGTTATGTGAGTAGTAGTAGTGCGCACAGGGAAGAATATCTTTGGATGTGCATGCGTGCAGTATCTGCTCTTGTGGTAGATGGCCTCAGCGGAGAGCTGAGCGATGGAAGTCTTGTCGGGGCGAGGATTAGTGTCAATGGACAGTCCCGTTCCAAGAGGCTAAGACAAGAGGAGGTGAGGCAATGGAGTGCCACCCTAGTGATATGAAAAACATATTTCACGACTACTGCATATCACCGCGAATAATATCGCGTTTTTCACCGAGTTTTACACCACTTTCCGTAAAACGGGTGAAGCTCCACAGTTGTAGGATTTCTGCAGTGTTGGAGTAGGAATATATGCTCGCTTTCCTCAACTGAGCTCAGGAGTTTCCAAAGCTAATCATAGGAGCTTATATACGCATTAGCATTCAGTAACAAACGAGGATTCACCATAGTTTCCTCGGAATTTTCATCACGTCACCGACACCCGTAGTAAACCACCTTCTATGAGGTTGTTGCTCATCTAATCTCAGCGTTGAGTAGCATGCATAGGGTCGACTATGCGTATGAGAGAAAATTATTGTTAGTTTCTGCACACACTCCTGCCCGATGAAATTAAGCATCTACTGCTCATAGTTTTCATTGTTTTCAGCTGGAAAGGATGGTATCGTTGGTTCCCGATGACACCAATGATGACGGACAGAAGCAGCGCACCTTCGTCAACTACCTCATGGAGGACCCCTTCGAGGCCATTAGCACTGGCGCTAGGTATCTTGTTGCTGACCCCTATTCACAGACTAGGTGAGCTCATCCTCGTTGGAGTTTCACCACCCGTTTTACGTGAAGTTAAGAAAATGCACTTTGCGAAAATATCCCCCGAAAGTGTTATACGTGTTATTCGCTGCTGACTAGTGTTTTTTTCATACCATCATCTCGTCAGGTTGTCGTGGGACTTCATACTTTCCATATGTATTATGTATCATGCAACGCTGATTCCATTTTCGCTCGCCTTCTACCTCACCGATGAAGATCGAAAGCAATCCCAGCTGATGCACTTTCTGCCGCTCCAAGATATCATTTTCGCTGTCAACATACTCGTGACGTGCTTCACTGGCATCTATAAAGATGGTGCACTCGTTCGGGACCCGCGAGTTCTCATCTGCCAATACCTCAAGACTTGGTTCATCATTGACCTCGTGGGGGCGTTTCCATATTTCTTTTTCCCCAGCGCGTCACTCGTGTGTAACTGTCTGAGACTGCTCAGACTTGTTCTTGTCGGCCGAACGGCGTACTTGCGACATCACGTTATGACTCACATAGAGTATCGTATGGAAAGTGAAGTGCTGGTGCTCCTCGTGGGGGTCTCCAAGTTGGTGATGCTGTTGGTGCTGGTGGCTCATTGGGGTGCCTGTATATGGTGGGCAGTCGGAGCGGACGGCTATTTAGCTGAGGGGGGCCCCGGGGGGTGGATAACGGTAGACATCATTCCGCCCCGGTTCGAATCTTGGTGAGCGCATTTTTCTCTCAGGAATTCGGCTCTGTCGATGACGACTGGTGGTACATGACGCGAATACAGCAGTATGCGGCTTGTCTGTATTTTATGATATCAACCATCACGACGGTCGGCTACGGTGACATCCACGCGTCGAATCACCACGAAAGAGTGTAGGCTCTCTCTCGGTGACGACCTTTGAAAACACTTTTTTCTCTCAGATTTTGCATAATATGCGAAATAGTAGCCGGCAATTTGTTTGCATTGTTTTCTGGTCTACTATGTTCGTTGATTTTGACATATGATGAAGTTGGTGCCGACTTCAGAGCTCGGTTGAAGACCGCGATGAAGTAGTGATGATACGTCGTAGCAGTAGGTGATCCTGTGAGTGTGTTTGGTTTTCAGATACATGCACAGTAACAACGTCGATCACAGAGTGCAAGTTCAAGTGCGGCGGTTCCTCGAGAGGCTCTTTCAAAACCAGGCTAACGAGCAGGCTAAGTCTGACTTACTCACGTAGGCAACAATTCTGCTTAGAAGTTGAGCGATTTATGGTATTAAATTAATACTATTAATATTATTTTTTGCCCGCAGTAAGGATAGTTCATCGAAGTTTCACATATAAAACAGTATTGAATAACATGCTCCGCGACTACTGCATATCACCGCGGTTATCGCGTTTTTCACGTAAAACGGGTGGTGAAACTCCATTCAACTGTGGTCCAATAGTAGTCGTTTAAAGGCGTCCACTGGACACCGATAGACGCACTTGAACATGTGGTATGTCGTCGCTTTACCCTCTCAGGATGCTACGAACATCTGATGGGCTTCGTAATAGAGTATTGGTAGGAGTGATGGGAAGGATGCTGAAACACTACAAGTGGTTTGACGTGAAGATTACCGATATTCAGCTCGGCCGAGTTGCCTCTGTCGTTTTAACCAAGTGAGAAGCTTATGCTCATTTCGAAATGTGTTTGTCGTGAAGACGACGATGACGACGACCGTGTTAAGGTATAGGATCACCGTATTTATTTCCGGCGTAAATGTTAACCTCAAACGCATCGAGAAAGAGCATTTGATACCATTTGAAATTCAACGTTTTACTGAATTCCTCAGTGTTGCGGGAAAAATTCTGGTAGCGTTTCTCGATCTGGTGGAGTTTCTAAAATGGGAAGTAGTTTTCTGGCGCACTCGCGATTAAGAGTTTGTATGCGTCCACGAGCAGAGCTGCAATGTATATGTAATCGCTTTCCTCAGCTGAGCTCATGAGTTTCCTCACTTATCATTGGAGTTTATGGAAGAATCGGGTTAGAAGTCAACAGAAACCAGCAAGAATTTCCCGAAATTTCCTCCCAAAATTTTCATATTGTCACCAACAGATGTGCGATTTTTACCACACCGTCCGCGGATGAGTTTTCGTTGTGCGGGCAGACTTTCTCATTGTCCCTGTTTTGGTAGACTATGTATTAAAATTCACTTGTTCACAGAGTACCCGAAAACTCGGAATTCGAACATATCATTTGAAAAGCTCTCGGCGAACTTTTTTTTGTCGAGTTTTGGAAGTGACAGATTATAGCCAATTCCATTTGGGCAACCGTGTGTGAATGAAATGGATCTTCCTTTGTTACTTCACATTGGAGGTTCACCCTAGTGATGTGAAAAAAATATTTCACGACTACTGCATATCACCGCGAATATCGCATTTTTTTCACAGAGTTTTACGTAAAACGCGTTGTAAAACTCCATCGTGCGAGTTCATATGTTTCCTATAGTTCCTCTTCGTATCACCCCAACAGGTATTTTGCACCGGGAGATCTGCTATTCTACGCTGGAGATAGAGCTGATTGTATGCTATTCGTAGTAAGGGGGCTCATAAAGTGCAAGAGGGACAGGACATGTAGGTTAACCAGAAAAAAATATTATAATATATTATCTGTTACGGTTTCAGGTGAAGTTCCCGCGGCGTTAAGACGTAGTCGTCAAACTGGAAATGCTTATCCTTCTTTTTTGGCACTCAACGAGCGGCCTGGAAACTCCATCGCGAGTGATGGGAGAGCCTCTATATACGGGCTTAGTAAAACGCTGATGGCGCTGGAGCCCGGCGATTATGTGGGTGAAAAAGCCCTGTTTGTGGACGATTATACCTGGCCGGAAATCGCCGTATGCGCGACTTTTTGCGAAGTGTATCAGCTGGATAGGAAGTCTTTTATCGAGTGTGTTGATGCGATGCCCGATTTGCATGGACCTTATCTGGACAAATGCCTCTGCGTTGCAATGGAAGATATTGGTGGCGAGAATGCTCCCGAGAAAAGCAAACGAATTAGAGAATTACTAAGTAAGCTTTGGAAATGATTTTGTTTCTATTCACATTTTCCCTGTCAGTTGACGGAGCGTCGCCAAATTCGGTTGATGAGAATAACCGTCATATTATATGCGAACCATCACTGCGTGGAAACGTTGAAGTTCTTCTACTGCTTGTGGGCTTTGGGACTAATGTGAGGGGAAGGAGATATTGGAGTTTCACAACCCGTTTTACGGGAAGGGGCGTAAAACTCGGTGAAAAACGCGATATTCGCACTATGCAGAAGTCGTGAAATTATGTTTTTCACTGGTGTTTTTTATATCACTAGGGTGGTGAAACTCTATTGAAGCTTCATGGGTGTTTGAATTTTACGTTATCATTGGAGTTTCACCACCCGTTTTACGGAAAGTAGCGTAAAACTCGATATTCGCGGTGACATGCAGTAGTCGTGAAATATGTTCTCTCACTAGGTAAAAATAACAGAGTTTATTATATTTTATAGGTGAACTTTTTCCTAAAACCAGAGGGGGATAGCACGGCAATCGGCCCGAGCAATGCGGCCGATGCTGTGGCAGCACTAGGACGGCAGATCTGGAATCGAGGCGGGCAGGTCCGCTTGGGTGAGGACATGGGCTCCAACTCGTCGGTGGATCAGATTGACAGAGAGGAATCGGCAGTATATGGCAGTGTAGGTTGCGGTATCGTATGTCCTCTCTCGATAGTCGCATTTCGTTGATTTTTGTATATTTTGTGAATTTTTTTTGCATTGAAATTGCCATTCTCGCAGTGAGGAAGTGTTGTTATATACTCGTTGATTAGTTGTAAATGTTGATATACCTGTTTTCGAGAGATTTTCGCAAAAACTGTGCATACTACCTTTATAGTGCATAGATGTATACTACTACATGAGGAATAATAGTGCATAGCAGAATATAATATAACATAATAAAATAGCACAATAACTACATTGCAGAAGACTTATATCCAGTGTGGGAATATATATGCACATGGTCAACTACACGTGTTGCTAGGAATATGGGAACTTTGAGGAAGTTTTGTATACTTATACCCAAAATCGTGTGATTTTTCATAAAATAGTGAGGAAACCTACGAGCTCAGTTAAGGAAACCCAACATATATTCCTGTACTGCTTATATCCTTCCGTGTTTCATGTTTTTGATCATTTCAGCGCATGTCAACTGATCGGCAAGCTCCCCTGCAAATGTGCGTCCAATCGGGGAACACAGCAGCGGTCGCTATTCTGGCAAGACACACGAATCTGTTGATAATGGAGGAAGAGGAGGAGGACAACAATCGTCTGGCTGCGATGAGGTTGCTCACGCGAGGACCAGTGCTGGATCCGTTGGCGCCTATTCTGAAGGCTTCCCTACTGATTCGATACGAGGTGGGCTGCGTGGTCGAGTAATTCAATGGAGTTTCACGGCCACCCTAGTGATATGATGAAAAACAGTAGTGAAAAATATATTTCATCACGACTACTGCATAGTTTGAATATCGCGTTCTCACTGTGTTTTACGCCACTTCACGTAAAACGGGTGAAACTCCAATGGTGAATGTCAGTGGTAAATTTAGAGATGTCTATAATAAAATTAAATTTAACAATTAAAGGGATTGTATTAGAAACTAGATAACTAGGACACCAAAAATGAAGAGAATTTTTCAACTTTTTATGAAAACAGCAGTTGGGTGTACAGTTTACTCTGATAGAGATCTATTCGGCTTTGAGAGATAACGTCCCTCGTAGGGATTGATAACAATGGAAGAAAATGTTGCTAATGTGATGATGACATTTACATGGGAAACTGACT